ATGAACTCTGTTCAAACATGAACAGAGGACCCAGAACTCAGCCCGACGAGTTTAGATTGCAATAGAGAACAGTTTATTTGGGACGTAAACTACTGCAGGTCATCGGTGGTCACAGGTCAGGAACAGGGTCAGAACCGTGGTGCCAGAGACAGGCGTGAAGATTGGGAGGAATAACCAAAAGTCCAAAAGCAGGGTCAGACCTGGGTAATCAGAGATCCAGGAACAATCCAAAGCAGAATCCGGGGGAAGAGTCAGGGGGCAGAAACAGGTCAGAGATCCAGGCAGCACAGCCACTAGAGGCTAGGCAGGCTCAGAGCATTCAGAGGGTAGAAACGGGGCAAAAACGGGGCAGAAATGGGGCAGAAACAGAGAAGAAACAGGGCAGAAACGGGGCCGAAACAGACCAGAAAAAGGGCAGAAACGAAGAACAGACAGGGCAGAATCATAGAAGAAACAGGGCAAAAACAGAGCAGAAACGGGGCAGAAACAGAAAACAAACAGGGCAGAAATGGGGCAGAAACAGGGCAGAAACGGGGCAGAAAGAGCAGAAATGGAGCAGAAACAGGGCAGAAACGGGGCAGAAACAGAGCAGAAAAAGGGCAGAAACCTGGCAGAAACAAAGAAGAAACAGGGCAGAAACACAGCAGAAAAAGGGCTGAATAGGGGCAGAAACAGAGCAGAAAAAGGTCAGAAATGGGGCAGAAAAAGGTCAGAAACGGGGCAGAAACGGGGCAGAAATGAGGCAGAAACAGAGAAAAAACAGGGCAGAAACGGGGCAGAAACAGGACACATTAACGCCAGATTAAACTCACTGGTGGCTCGTGTTAATCTGGCCCCAGTGGCTGGTCTGAGAGCTGTTAAGTAGCCAGAGGTGCAGGTGGACCTAGTGAAGGCTGATGAGAACAGAGCTGTGCAGAATGATTGCTCTGACAGGCAATAGTGCCAAGATCCTGACACGGGCAGGTAAAACTGTTTCTTAAAAGTTCCCAGGCATGCACTCCATAATTCTATTTTTGTAATGTCATTGTCATTGTGTTTTGACTAATATTGTATTATTTGATTTAGTGTTGTTTGGTCTTCCTGCCTCAGGACGACAGATGCAAATTAGCAACTATGCTAGAATCTGGCTCATTTACAATGTGTACAGAAGTATGAGATTGTTCATTAACTCATTGACTGCCAGCCATTTTCAGAACAGAGAGTCGCTCACTGCCAGAGTTTTTTGAGCATTTTGACTGATTTTTCCAGAGCCACAGAATAGTTTGTGCTATGACTATGTAAACACCGAACACACCAAAAGAAAGAG